AAAAAAAAATAATAAAAAAATAAAACACACACACACACACACACACACACAAAAGAATATTTGTTATTTAAGCAATAGCACATTTCTTTATGAATCTCAAAATGAATTCTGTTTTCAGATCATCACCTTGCCTAACTCAGCTCTTTATTTTGTAACTTTTGAGGGCTTAACAAATACCAGGTTACCTCTCAAGATTAGAGACAAGAAAATAGGCAAATAGCACGTTAAGTGGTTTTTGCTTCAAATAGAAATGTTACCAAATGAACAGATTTTGGTGGCTTCAGATGAGAACCTTAATTTCTATATTAATTATATAAATCAAACATGTAAAATAACCATGTATAATGACTGGAGTAGTTTCTTTACAGAAAAACCTATTAATATTTTATTTTTAAAAGGAATCAATGATTTCTAGAAGAAATTCAACAGCATTGCTTCAGTTACAGCTATCCATGTAATGTGATGGTTTGTTCTTAAGCAGCTCTGGGCAATCTGGCATAGTAAAGTGAGAGAATACTGGGAAGCCTTGTGAGTCTTATAGCTCACACTACATTTTTATTTTTACAGCTGTTACATAAACTCTTCTGCGAGAGAAAACTGTGGTGCCAAGAAAGAACTGATCCCACTGGCTTCAGGTTTTACCTTGTTTCCTGTACCAGCACAGCAGATCCCCAGGGCCATTGCAGCTCCATAGCGCACATGAGGGTTGTAACTCTCTGACAACAAAGAAACAACACTGGGACACTGTTCAGGGGTCCTGACGAGAAACAAAAAATAAGATAGTGTTATGGGAACATATTTTAAATCAAGATGGAAGAATTTTAACTGAGTTTTTTTTAAAGTAATGGGAAACAATAGAGTATTTGACACATAAACTGTAGAATTAAAAATCTCCCACAGAATTCTTATTAATAATGATAGAAAAAGAAATCTATCTTCAATATTCAGAGAATGCATGCAAAGAAAAAGGGTCCTGTTAGTGACTCCTCAACCACAGCCCTAAATTCCAGTCATTGCCTTGTGCCTCCTCCATGGCATACAACAGCCATATGGGAGACAGCTCACTGTTCTGCATCCATCTTCCTAGTTCCTGGTCACTCTGCATTTTGTTCCAGAAGACAAAAGTCATTTAAAGTCTCTCCTGGGTGTTTCTAAAGCTGCATGAAAGATTTAAATCCTCCAGTATTACTTTAGTTGAATACTAAACCAGCAAATAAGTCTTGATAATGAGGAAATTTTTTTTTTTGCCTTTAGCAATTATTTTTGCATTGATAAGAAGTTGTTGTTTTTCATCCTCCCCATATTTGCAGCAAAGAAAAAAACAGGACAAACTTGAATAATAAAGTACCTGACCTCATTGTTTAAAGGACTATCATGGTATAGTGGCTATCCTTGAGGAGCAACTGGACAGGGGCAGTAACCAAAAGAGTGTAAGGAGAGCTTCTGGAAGGCTGGTAATGGTAATATTATGATCTTGAATTGGGTATTAGTTACACAGGTGTATGTAGTTGTGAAAATTCATCAAGCTGTAGTCTAATGATTTTGTGCACATTTTTGGATGTATGTTAAACTTCAATAAAAAGTTTTTTTTTAAAAAGACGATCCTGTTACGAGTGAAAGTAGTTATTACCCAAACCAATTCAAATCCGCAATTCTATATTGGAATTGTCCTCTACCCTCAAACTCCAGTGCATGGTAAATTCAAATTTCAAATGGAATAGAGCCAAGTTTATGAAACTGGTTATCTATTAAAATGAAATTTTGCTATAAGAGAAGGTTAGATTATTTCCCCCTACAACCAAAGTCTATCATTTTTTCTTGAAAATGTTCTCAGTTTGATTATTCTTGTATGAAATAACTTGGAGATAATACTAACAGCAACAATGCAGAAAAATAGTATGGTGTCAGAAAAACAGGAATGTACTAGAAAATGGAAGATCTGGGTGCTAGTTCTAGCTTTGCTAATTTGGTAGTTATGTGACATTAGGCAAGCCACTTAGATTTTTTTCTCCGTAATTTGAGATAGATGTTTTTCTTTTTTTTGAGACGGGATCTTGCTTGTTCTGTACAACAGATGTCTTCCCTTTTCTTTTTTCTTTGAGACAGAGTCTTGCTCTGTCGCCCTGGGTAGTGTACAGTGGTGTCATCATAGCTCACTGCAACCTCAAACACCTGGGCTCAAGCGATCCTCCTGCCTCAGCCTCCCAAGTAGCTGGAACTACAGGCATGCACTACCACGTCCGGCTAATTTTTTTATTTTTTGTAGAGATGGGGTCTCACTATCTTGCCCAGCCTGGTCTCCAACTCCTGGCCTAAGTGATTCTTCCATCTCAGTCACACAAAG